CAGCCAATCAGACGAATGTCAGCCTATGACCATTGGAGTTAAACTCAGCATGATTGATGGAAGATCTTCTTACAATGATAACAGTAAAAAAAACAGAGAATCAAGCTCAATAACAGTAAGCAGGTTAGTAAAATAACAAATGGCTTAATTCTTAAATTTACATTTTGAAAATAGATACCTTTGAATTATTGAACTAGGACAGCTAAAAAAATGAATTTAGTTAGGTGAAATTTTATAAACTGGTATAACCACAAGCCCGATTTAGTGAATTTCCTTATGCTAAAAAATTCCCAAGTAGGGATGTTACAGTCCATCCTGGTCTGGTCTTGGTTCAAAAGACTGGATCCGAACAGTGGACCACAAACCAGACCAAATTTCATAAATTGGTCCATGAACCAGTCCTAGTTCAGTCCAGTTCAAGGACTGGTCTACCTATAGCCAATAGAAATAGAGAATTTTTGATATCATAACACACATATCAAATATCTATCCTGTAATGAATGTTCTTTACATGTTCTTTCATCAAATCATGAATGTGTAAGTCCTGTACCATACAAATCTGTAAGTAATTTTATAATGTGCTTACTTAAATGTGCATTTCTAATTAACTTTATGTTTTTATTTTCAAAAAAACTCAGATTTTTCAACCATTTTTTTATAAGAAAAATGCCTTTTGATCTTCTAAGTTATTTTGACTTTATATTTATAGTACTACTTTAAAATAAGACTAATATTTATTTAATGATACCTTTTATTTTAATGATATCAAAAAATTATTTTATTATTAGTACAATTAATTATTTTATACTTTCTATGACAGGTATGATTACTTATTCAATTTCGCCTATTCCATTGCTGATTCAACTTTTAACACAAAGACATGCCCTTGCTGTTTCAGAATAGAGATGATTACAAGTTCTGTAAATAGTGTTACCAACCACAGAGAATACTTGTTTGCAAGCAACACTAGTTGCTTGGATACTTAGATAGTCTGATGCCATTTTTGAGAGAATCAGATAAGTTTTTTGATTTGACTTCTACTATTCCAATGGAATTGTATTTTCTTCAATAGTTTCCATTGCAATATAATAATTTAATTCATTAGTAATAGTTGATTCTTCATTAGTATAATTAGGAACCAAGGATTCTACAGTTTCGGATTTGTTATGCCACTTCCAAAAAAACTTTTGAGTAGTTTTGATCAGACTTTCTTCCTCATTATTAGAAACAGATAAAGTTTGTTGATATTCATATATATATTGGTTCATAATTTCTTTAATCATTTTTTTAGCATTAATAGCTTCTTCTTTGTTAAATATTTTAAATTTGGCACGAAGATCAAGAACAGCAGATACAACAAAAGGTTCATCCATTATACCCCAATATGTTTTAATTTTTTGACAAATTGATGTAGCAGCCAAGTACTGAGAAAATTCTTCTTTTTCAATATAGGTATCTAAGTAGTTTTAAATACTTAAAAAATCAAATGAATATCACCTATAGTTGGATATGATGATGCTAAAAGTAATTTTGTTATAGTTTCAATTAGTTCTAATAGAATAAGCATATCCTAAAAAATTATTATTAGTTTATTATTTATTTTATTTATTTTTATTTAAGAGGTAAATCGTGATTAAAGAGTATAAAAATAACAAATCTAATAGTATAAATTGCTGAAAGTTAATATAGTTTTTTTATATAGTTGGAATATAGCTAGCTTACAATGAACATTTTTTTTTTATAAAATAAACCTTTTTTGTATTTTTAATAAAGATTATAAAGCAGTTATTTTGGTTCTAATAGTGGTAGAATTATTCAAATTAGGTTGGTAAACTGTGAATTATAGAATTTTCTTCTTTATAACTATATGACTTTTGTATATTGTCAAAAACTTTTGATGTTCCAATATTATATGAAAGTATTAGTAAATTTTTACTGATTTTTACTACAAATTTTATGCCTTTTAACTGTGGTCTACTACTTAAATTACTTTTTTACTTACTTTTAAATTTTGTTGTTCATTAATATTTGGATATAATAAATCAATTGAAGGATGGTCCGCTGCAAGTAATTTAAGAGATGTTTCTATTTTTTTTATTTTTTGCAATATGTAATACATACTATTCCACCTAGTATCAACATCTAATTCAGGTTTAAAGTATGGAATTCCTTTAAGTTTGTATAGACCATGTAAATCATCACAGAGACAAGTTGATACTCTAATTTTTGACATTAGGTTTTGAACTTTTTCTATTGACAAACAAACCATTCTTAATCTCTGTTTTGCAGTCAGATTAAGTACATGGGCTGCATAATGATAGTGTGAAAATCTGATTTCATCAAATTCATGTTGCAATTCTTCTGTAATTAACTTTCCACAAACAATTTTTGCTGATTCATTATCTGTGATAAGTGCCAAGGTTTTGTCTTTGATATTAAAATTAGAAAGGAGGTTATTAATGGCATCTGCCATATTTATACTTGTATGTCTGTCATTAAAAGGAATAATATCTAAAAGAAAATATTGTATTTTCCAATTGGAATCTATATAATGAATAGTGATACTAAGAAACGCCTTAAAATTTCAGAATATCCACATATTAGTGGTCAAAGAAACTTTTCCAGGAATTCTTACAAAATCATTAATCACTCTACTTCGCCTAATTTCAAATTCATTAATGATCATTATTTTTGCAGTTTGTCAAGTTGAAACTATATACTGAGGATCAATAAAACTGATAAATTCATTAAAATGTTGATTCTCAATGACGATAAAGGGTTGTTGATCAGCAATAATCCAGGTAATCAATTTTTTGTCTCTTTTTTTTTATTCATTATCATTATATAGATCTGTTCTAAAAAAATGAAAAATAGTTTGACATCATGCAGATACCATAATTTTATATTTATTAAGGTGTCTTCATAATGTTGAAACACTAGTAGTTTTTGAAAAAACTTAATTGCACTTTAGACATATAGAAACTCCTGTTTTGGTGTCAAACTAGGGCCAAATTGCTGAATTTTTTGTTCTTGATCTATAATTAATTTGAGACAACAAACTAATAGTATTAGTTTTTTGAGATACTTGACTATTAGTATTAGCATATTATCTTCTTCAAAGAGATCATTAATATTTTCAGAACTAAAAGGTATATAATTTTTAGGAAGATCTGCCATTTTTTTTTAATAAAAAGTCAAAAACAAGAATAAGATAAAGTACGTTTTTTATATATTTTATTAAGTATTTAATTTTATTATTATTATTATTAATTTTTATTCATTCTTATTTTAGATATTAGTCATGATCAATATATTACTTTTTTTTCTAATTGCATTATCGAGAGAATTTTTTTTTAAGACCATGAGATTATTGATCTTTTTTTTTAAAACATGATTAAATATATTTAGTAGTTTTTATTTTTAGTAGTCTCTTTGTTATCATAATTTATCTCAAGTTGGCTTATCAATATATGTATGATGATTTTTATAAAAACTTTATCAATTACCATGTTACTATTTGTTAGGTTCTGGTTACTAACTTTTATTGGATCATAGATCCTTTTTTTTAATAAAAACTTTATCAGCAATGGTAACAAGAAATTCAAATTTTAGAAATTTAATTCATGAGAATTATAATGTAATATTCAATCAATAATATATAAAATGCAATGTGTAAAAGTATGATCTTTATGACATGTAATAAAAAGATGATCATAAAACAGTAATGGATATAGAACTATCCTGTTTGGGCTGTCAAGGACTAGTAAATTTTTTAACCTTAAATCAGTATTTAGTAATTAAAGGTCATACATGAAAACCAATTCCAGTAAATCGATTTCGACTGAAGAATGTGCTTGCAATTACTTAAACTTTATTTGAGAACAAGTTTGATTTAACTTCAATCATACAGTTATGTATTTAAAAATAATATGTATGTACATACTATAAATCTTGTTCACGTGATATCGAAGTTATAAATAAGATAATGATCTTCGAAATAAAAATGCTACGTCTGCATAGATTTACATAAAAATATTATGTAATCACAGAATTTATTATGGACGGACCAATTTGGACTGGTTCCAATTTATGGACAGTGGACTGCTTAGACCAGTTCAAAGGACTGGTTCAGACTGCGGTCCTTGCCGGACCGTAACATCCCTATTCCCGAGCTGCCAGCCAAAAAGATATGGGTCGTAGTATATCAAAAATTCTTTATATATCTAATATTAACAATTGC